ACGCGTCGAAAGAGCCAAATTGGATCAAAATCAGAGGTGAGGCAGCTATTCTGGATAATTACCAAAGTTGCTATTAAAAGTGTGTTGCAGTATATTTAAAGTATTTGAATGAAATCAACATCGTCAAACGCGTTATGATTCCCTTCATTGATTATGCGTACTTGTAAATATCCACTCTTCAATATTTGTCCTTACAAAATGAAAATTTTAATAGGTTAGATCACAGCCATTGACGATCAAAATGCGTGAAAATAGTGACATCGCAACATCATTGAGATTCGGAGAATTTTGGAATCAATTATCAAAAAATTTGAGAAACGATAAGTAATATGATAAACGTAATGCACGATTTTTATAAGTAAAATCGCATGCCACGTTGAGAATATGAAGCTCGCCATGCTTGCAGCGGAATGCGAGCGAGGAACATGTTGCGAAATAAATAGAAAATCGAAAGACACTCACCCTCATCGCTAATATCGTCGACGAAGCCCTCGGGATCGCTGAAGTTTGGTTCCTCATCGTCGTTTATCGGATCATCGTTGGCTTTTGCAGTTTCTTCATTTTGAGCGGCTTTTTCCGCCTGCGTTTTCTTCGCCATTTTAACAATCACGAACTCCTTTCAGCTGTAGATCCGCGCCATCCGCAAACTTCATGGAACAGAGTTGCCAGTCATGAAATTACAGTATAGCCAGTCGGTTTCATATACGTTTCTTGAGTTTTAAGAGCTTAAGCTCGTTTTCAAGACCAAAATTGATTCAAGAATGAAACTAGCACCTCTGTCGGAGTGGAAGTAAAACACGTAAAGCCCGTATCAGACTACGCATTGAAAATTGAAAAGTAAAGATTGAAATTTGACCAATCGAAACAAAAGGAGCTAAAGCATTATGTCACATATACTATAGATGGGAATATATTGAAGTGAGTAAAAGCATGCGCACGGACAAACCTTGTGTCATTCGCTATCAGTGGCTTGCCGCCATAACTCTATTGTACTGTGTTTTCGTTTCCATTCATCAGAAGTTTGCTGTCATTCGATGAAATTTAGCAAGATGAATATCACATCAGCAGGTAAAATTTGTTAAATAATTTTCTACTACTCAAAGTATATGAATTCTTCGTTAATTGTTTGAGAATTTGTTTAAAGTGCATAAATTTTCGCGTGATGATTTGCAAATCATGCAAGACGTAACCTCGAACGTAACCTCTTTCGATAATTTTGGAGCATATATTTTTAAAAATAAAAATGAAGTCAAATATAGAAGTCACACAAGAATTTGTTGAACAATGAAGCATTCATTGTACATTGAATATTTTATTTTTTTATTGGTTTTGTGTGTTTATTACATATAATTTTTATTGTAATATATAATAATTTCACAATATGATTATAACTTTAATTTAAATGCAATTATAATTTTTGCAGCTGGTATTATCTCTTTACTGGAGGAGCCAATGCCTGAATTGAAGGTGTTTGCTTTGAAAAAACTGGACATGATAGTTGATGAATTTTGGCCCGAGATTTCTGAGGCTATAGAGAAGATGTATGTAATCAGAAACTGTCAAAAAACTTCATCTTTGCATGATTCATAATATATTTATTAATTCATGTTCTATTGTTGCATATTATTTCTTAATTTTACTTTCTAAAAATTGATGTTTTTTTTTACAGTGAAATTCTGCACGAAGATAAATTATTTCAACAGCATGAGTTAGCTGCTCTGGTTGCCAGCAAGGTGTACTATCATTTGGGGAGCTTTGAGGACTCTTTAACATACGCTCTTGGAGCAGGCGAGCTGTTTGATGTCAATGCTCGAAATGAATACGTTGACACTACTATTGGTATTTAAGAAACATTATTTTTATCATAGTCTTTTAAGTATTTGCTCTTAAATACTTGTCTTTTTAGCTAAGTGTATCGATTACTACACCCAGCAACGTGTTTTGGAGGCGGAAAGCAAGCTTCCTCCAGGTAGCAAGGGCATTGATCCTAGACTGGAGGGAATTGTGAATCGAATGTTCCAACGTTGCCTGGATGACCATCAGTATCGTCAGGCCTTGGGTCTCGCGCTGGAGACACGTAGAATGGACATATTTGAAGCTGCTATCATGCAGTCTGTGAGTGCTAATTTCATCATTGATTTTTATGTACTTCATAATCAGGATGTGTATTATCTGAAAAAATCTGATAATTTTGCGATTTATATTGATTTATACTAACAAAATTTTTTTCCTTTTCAGGATGATGTGAGCGGAATGTTGTCGTACGCCTTTCAGGTTGCGATGAGTCTTATCCAGAATCGTGGATTCCGCAACACAGTGCTCCGCTGTCTTGTCAGTCTCTATCGTAATCTCAATACACCCGATTACGTCAATATGTGCCAGTGCTTGATCTTCCTGGATGATCCACTGGCAGTGGCCGAGCTTCTAGACCGCCTGACCAAGGGCTCGCACGATTGCGTGCTGATGGCTTATCAGATCGCCTTCGATCTGTACGAATCCGCGACTCAACAGTTCCTCGGTCGTGTCATGCAAGCTTTGCGAGCTACCGCGCCCATCCCGGGAGCATTAATGGTTAAGCCGGTAGTTAAACCGGCCGCTGCCAGTACTACTAAGAACGCTGAAACCAATACTGAGTCCGCAAATATGGAGACTGATGAGGGGACTGTGGTTTCCACTGCGGAAGAAAAGACTCAACGCAGTGTTGAAAGTTTGGTAAGTATTGTTTAACTGTTTAATAAAAAGTACATTAAAGAAATAAATTAAATTTAAAGTAATAAAGTTGTTAATATTAATATTTTTTTTTTAAGTTAGAATGCATTTTTGATGTTAATACTTTATTTGTGATCACTGATGGGTGATATTAGTTAACAATAGATATTAATTTTTGCGTTTTCTTTTTTCAGAACGCAGAAGAGAGAGAACAACAAGAACGCGTAGACGCTTTGTCCAGCATTCTGGGCGGCGAAGTATCTATCGATCTGCATCTACAATTCCTTATTCGCAGCAATCATACCGACATGCTGATCTTGAAGAACACTAAGGACGCAATACGAGTTTCGATTTGCCACACTGCCACTGTGATAGCGAATGCCTTCATGCATTCCGGCACAACTAGCGATCAATTCTTGAGGTACGCGTTAATTTTTAAGACTTTTAAAGGTTGAAGATTTTCGATGAATTATAGTTTCGTTATAGTTTTTTGTTGTTAGCATTTTCTATTCTTAAGAGAAGGAAATGATATGAAAAATTAACCTTTTAACAAAGTTAACGAAATTTTTTTAATTTTCTAAAATTTGTAACTATTAAGATTTTTCGATTTGAAAGAAAAAAAATTAGAACTTTTAGAAATAAAAAATAAGGTTTTTTGCGACGTTTTTAATTTCCTGTAAACTTTTTTTAGAGATAATTTGGAGTGGCTGGCTCGAGCCACCAATTGGGCGAAACTGACTGCGACGGCTTCTCTGGGAGTGATACATCGAGGACACGAACAGGAAGCTTTAGCCTTGATGCAATCTTATTTACCGAGAGATTCCGGTGCTGCCGGTGCTGGATATTCCGAAGGCGGCGGTTTGTACGCCTTAGGACTTATACACGCTAATCACGGGGCTGCCATTACAGATTATCTCTTGGGTCAATTAAAGGATGCTCAAAATGAGGTACATTTCCATAAAAATGTTCTCTTATGCATTTAATAATTCGTTAAAATAAAATATATTTTTTCCTTTCATTAATTATCAATTTATATTACGTTGAAAAATTTTTGTTTTGTTGCGTTAAATATTTGCATGAATTTGTCAAATTATAAGGTAAACGTTCTAGTAGCCAAACATTTAAGAATCAATCATTATTGGAGATCTATTTTTCCCATCAAAATAATATTTTTCTCAATTTTTCATACGTAGTAAAGATTAAAGTTTATTAAACAAAATAAAATGTCCGATGTTATATCTTTCTAAAATGAAATGCATACGATTGATGCGATTTATACGTCGAAACTTCTTTCAGATGGTTCGTCATGGTGGCTGCCTCGGTCTTGGATTAGCAGCAATGGGCTCTCACAGGCAAGACGTTTACGAGCAACTGAAGTTCAACCTGTACCAAGATGACGCTGTAACGGGTGAAGCGGCCGGAATCGCCATGGGTATGGTTATGCTGGGATCTAAATCCACGCAAGCGATCGAGGATATGGTTGCGGTAAGTTTGATCTACGTTTCATGGCTCTCGCTTTATTTTAATTTACATTTAAAACGATACAAAATACTTACGATCTAAGAAAAATCTAAGAAATCGGAAACTTTCAAGAAATTCTTTTTTGTCTGGAGAAGAATTTTATTAGAATTCGGAGAATTTATGTTGAAAACATCGAATCTTTATTTCTCTCTTTCGCTCTCTCTTACTTTTATTTTGTGATCAGCTGATTAGTCCTTTTCAGTACATTGTTAAACTTAATATTTGATTTTTCAATTATTTTTTTATGAGTAAGTTTTTTTTTTAGTAAGAAATGTTAAGAAGTTTACGTAGTGGAAGTTTAATTTTATCTTCTCTTATTTAATTTTCTCAGTTTTACGACATTAGTATAATTAACGTCAAAGAAACGGTTTCAACGTTTCAAGTGTGTAAAAGAGCGCGCGCCAAGATTAGTACTCTGAGCGTTTAGCACTGCAGAACTCTTATGTTTTTATTACGAAGCACATACTTTTAGCTTAATATTACGTATCTAAATGGTTTAAGAGGAAACAGAATTTAATAATGGAGAAATTAAATTCTTTTCGAGGCAACGGGTGCGTTCTTTAAATAAGCGCAAGATCAAATGGGAAAAAATCGATAGTATAGTTAAAAGTCTTTTGGAATTTATTTAAAATTTTTAATATTTTTAATATTTCTACGTACAAATCTTTAACTAGATCTATGATTTTATTATTTGTTACACAATAAATCTCAAAATTTGTAAATAGAAAAAAAAAAACGAATAAGTATCAGTCAAAAAATATGGAAAATTGAGAGTATTCGTAAAAAGTTATTTTTAATGAACACACAAATATGTGTAAAAATAATTACACAAAAATAATAAGATAAATTCTCAACCGAGAGCAAACGGTTTTTCGCCGGCAGTCTGCAAAATATATGTTTCATGTTTTGCTGAAAATAATACAAGCATTAATGAATCAATTAATATTTGAAGAATAATATTTTTGTGTTCCAAAAGAGACAAATACCTATTAAATGGATCAATTAATTCTGTCCTTCAATTTTAAATTTTGTCGCTTTAAAATTTTACCAATATTTTGACAATTGAGTCATTATTGCATTAACGGCAAATAAATAAAGAATAAAGAATTCGGTTAAAAAACGGACAGAATTAATTGACATGCTTAATATATGTCAAAAAATGAGAGCGCGTTTTACATATTTTGGATCGTTTTACATATTTTGATCTACCTATGAACACATTTCGCCGGCGCAAAACCCTTTGGGATTCATGATAGATTCAACGTAATAGAGAAAAGCCCTCGAGTGTGCGCTTCCAATTGCCGCGACATCGTCTGCAAATTGCAAACCGGTTAGTTTGCGAACGTTAATGAACCGACGACGAATGTCGCCGGGATGAGCTTTGTTTACCGATTCATCTGATAGGGCCACATCCTGGCTGCTTCTCGCCGCCATTAGGATAAAAGTCGGAAGTGTCGGTCGCCGCTTTTATGCCCACACCCTTTGTTCGTTGGACTCGAATGCCAAACTCGCAGTATCGTGTGAATCAAACATCGATTTTAGTTTTTTTCAATTCAAAATAATCAGCCAAATCAAAAAATCTGAAAAAACTCGGAATTCTCAAGGAATTTTTATTTTTTTTTTGGAGAATTTTGCTCCTATTTTGTGACGAGTTAATTAGGCTTTCGTATTTCTCAGTACTTTTTCATATCTACAATAATATTTGAAACTTAAGACTTTGTTTTAATTCTTTCTTTATGAATGGAAAATAGTAAGAATCACTAACTTATTTTAAATTTTCGCAAAGCAAATATGTATTCTACGAAACTTGGAAAATTTACGTTTGTAAAATACGCTTTATTTTCCCTGGAAATTTGACTGAAAATGCCTGGAGAATCGGGGAGTTCTCTCAGGAAATTTGTTTCCACAGTCAGTAGACGCTCTGCAAACGTTTCTTACGGGACTCACTTCGGCAATTTCATCGTGAAACGAGCACGGAGGCCGGTGACATGCGCTCCCAAGGAGTATCCGATTATCGTGGTCGTATCAGGATTCAGAGCCGCGTTATTCTCTAGGAAGTCCAGCGGAAAGGCTATTCGTTGTGGCACACGCTATTCACGGTTTTCCAGATATCCGCGACCGCGTTCCGCGAATCGATCAAGATGACATTGTAATCACCGACGCTGAGATAAGCTGCGGATATCGGGACGGGAACATTAATAAAATAGAAATTGATCTCCGCGAAAAGTACAAAAAAATTTGTGGAATTTTAATTAAATTTTCAGAGGTCGGGCAATTTAGGAATTTAAAGATAAAGAAGAAAGAGGAGAGTAAAGATTATATTATTATATAAGAATTATTAATAAGTTTTAGAGAGAGAAAGAATTTGATTTGCGTGTTTGCGAGGAATTTAAAGCTTCGGTTTAATAGCGAAAATGAACGAGAAGCGATTGTCTAATAAGAATTTGAAAAGTTGAGCAACGTGGGCGAGTCAACAATTTTTCGCACAGTTATTAGAAAATAAATATTTATTTTAAAAAATCAAATAATGTTGAAAAACATGATAATTCTGTGAAAAAATATGTTGCTTAAATTTTTATAATAAACACTTATTCCTTAATAATTTTGCGGAAAACGTTTCACTCATCTACGTATTAATATCAATATGCAGTGATTTTATCATTCCGGATCATTAAAGATTCTGTTTCTCCTCTCCGCAAGTAATCAGTCGCGTGGGATGATCAGGATTCCAAGAACTGTTTTTCACGCTAATCAAATCATCGATGAACAATTACTGTCCACTTTGCGAATTCTTCCTAAAGAAAAAAAAAAGTTAATTCAAAACCGACATATATATATATTTTCGCGTCGGTATTTTCGAGCACGCTCACCGGATGTATAAATAAAACGTAGTTTTCTCCGCAGTTGCGTAGATTTTATCGAGTTTAACGTGCGTAAAAACATGTTCGTTCTTATCGATTACATGTGTCCCTCCATAATCGTCGATGAGAAACACGCAATTCTAATTCGTCGCAATAAATGCCGATAAAGAAATCAAAAGTAATATGCTGTGAACAAAAGATACACATTCGTTCGCAACGATTGAAACAAGATTTATAACTTAAAGATTAATTTTTTTTTTCACGAAAATACAATACAGACAATTTTTTTTATCACCATGTGCTACTGCGAGATAGTAAAACGCAATATTTCTTTTTCACAAATGCGCAACCGAGAAGAATAATTTTTTTCAAAGCAATTTTAATCCGCGAGTTATTTTTTACATACGCGACGCGATCGCCGACAAAACCGTCATTTTCACCGAAAGTTGGCGCGAGTCGTTGAAAATTCTGGTTTTGCTTTTTCCAATTTTCCAATTTTATAGTCGGCCGATAAGTATGCGTTCAATAGACGGTGCGATAAGCCGCCGATGACATCGATTGATAGGCATAATTCAGATCAATCGAGCTCGGAGGCAGATTAAAATGAGATGAAAGAAGATATTACATTCGATTGCAATACAGCTTTCTTTTTTTCTTGATAATAACATTGCGATAGTTTACAATACGTTGATAAAATTCTGATAGTATTATAGATATATATATTATATCATAATATAAATAAATGAAATTTTTGATTAGAAAGATAATTTCAAGTGTTTTGATGATAAAATGAAATTTTTACTGGATGATAAAAGTGATAAAATAATAGTGATAAATGTAGCTGCGTCATAACGACAGTTTTATGAGCGGAGAGAAATATTGATCAATTATTCAAACGACACGAGGAAGGTTTAGGGTTCATAAAAGTTTATTTTGAATAATATCACGTGGACAAGGCGCTATGTATCACAAAAATCAAATTTCATTAGGAAAGTAGACTATATTAGGCCAAATCTCCATCTTTGTGCATTTATTTTAGTCGAGAAACATTTCGATAACTTTGCTCCGAATACACTGCAAAAGCATATGCGAAAGGTGTGAAAAAATAAGGAAATGACAGTCGTCCGTTGTCAGTCGAGTGCGAACGGCGGCTTCCTGTTAGTCTGCAGAACGTAGCTTCCTTTCGCCCTAAATTTCACACAAACCTGAACTATAATCGTTATTTCGATCAATTTATTTCAAAGAAAAAGAAATACAAAAGTTAAAGAAGGAAGGAGAGCGCTTAGAGGGGCAAAGAATAATACTGTGCTTCCAAAAAGAGACAAAATAATCGTAGAAAGAGAAGAGGAGAGTTGTGCTTACCTTCGATCGAGCTCCGGTCCGCCCATAAACACGTCTCCGGCGCGAAAGCCTTTCGGATTCCTGATGGACTCGGCGTAGTATTCGTAAGACCTCGAATGCGCACACCCGACCGCTGCAAATTGATCGGCTCGTTAGCCAATGAGCCTGTAAGCGGCGTAAAATCTTCCTTCCCCGTTAATTTATTTACCGATCCAGCTGCATCCCGGCTGGTCTTTGCCGCCGTTGGGGTAAAAGTCGGCATGGCCGACCGGCTCTTCCAAGCCAAGAACACCCGCGTTCGTGTGTATCGCGTGCACCAGACTCGCATCCGACGCGTCCACTCTTTCTCCCGGTCCTTTGAATTCGAATTTCGGCTTCGCGGGATCCAAAGCTGTGGGAAAATCAAAAATTTGTTTTTTTAGTCTTATGACAAGAGATTCATCTCTTATTTGCATCGTGAAAAACGATTGTCGGTTGACGTTAATACGAAAAAAATATTTTTCATCATATGGAATTTTTGTAGGAAAAATGTTATTGAAAACACGGCATTCGTAGATTTTTAGAACCGTATGATTCAAATCAGTTTTCAAATTTAATATTGTAGAGCTAGCGAACGCAAATTTAAAGTTATTCCATTCTCATCAAATTTAATTTCATATTTTTCAGTCCTTTATTCGAATTGAGATAAAAGTTTTAAAATTGAAGAAAATATTACTCTTATAAAGATAACATTTGTAACAGTCTGAAATCTTATTTTACATATCACAGATTTATTAAATGAAACATTAACAACGTTTTCTTCTGTTTTTGCAAGAGATTATGAAGAGGTCTTGCTTCATCATTATTCTCTATTTTTAATTCTGGATTAGTTTTTTTTTTTTTTCTATAAATGTGTTTTATTAAACTTACCGATCACTTCAGCGATTTCGGTTTTCGCGAAACGAGCTGCAAGACTGATGACATGTCCTCCAAGAGAATGTCCCACTGCTCTGGTCGTGGCGGGATCTAAACCAAAATTTTTCTCCAAATAGTTGATCATGTTAGCCACAAGTGTGGCGACGAGTGGTACGCTTTTCACTACTTTCCAGTATAACAGAAACTTAGCTGTTTTTTGCCAATCGACCAGAATGACGTTGTAATCGCCAACGCTGAGATAAGCTAAAAGTAATTACAAAGTAGAAATTAATTGCTGAGACGCTGAAGCACATTTTATGGAATCTAGAAATTTAGACATTCGAAATTACACGTGAAAATTAGAAATCAAAGAATTAGAAAAATTCCAAGACAAAACAGAGGAAGATAAGAGTTGAATATTAAGAATTCAGACATTGAAAATACACGTGAAAATTCGAAATCAGAGGATTGGGAAAATTTGAAGAGAAAGAGGAGAGGACGACAAGAGTTATTAAGGAGTTATTAAGGATGTCAAATTTGTGGCGATCCTACCGTCGCGAGGCATGATGCAAGAATTATCTTCCGGATGTCCTCGCCAGCCGTGAGTGACTATATATGTGGGATTGTGAGGGTTCCAAAAACTGTTCTTCACGCTGTCCGCGTTGCCGATAATCAACTCCTGTCCAACCAGCGGATTATTTCTGTAGAGAGAAATCGATTCCGCGTTAGAAATCGACGCCCGACGCAGCGGTCTCGCACCGGTGTTTCGTATACATTTACCGTGTGTACAAATGGAAGGTGATTTCGCGGATGGATTCGCTGATCTCGAGCTCTTCCGCCTCGGTAAAATCGGGCTCGCTAAGGTCGATCACGTACTGCGTCCCACTGTCGTCGGCGAAAATCGTCAGATTCGGATTCGACGCGAGAGACGCCAATAGAGTCGGATACACTGCGATCAAAACACACTCATCGATCCAGATTGATTCTTCGAAGTAAAATCAGATATTTATCTTGTGAATTCACGCGAAATTCGAGGAATACGAGTCTCTTTCGAATTTGCAAATAATTATTGAACTGCAAATTTAAGAATGATTTTTTTTACAAAAGTGAGCAACTGCAAGTTTGAGGATAATTTTCTCATCAAGATTTGATCTTAAAATCAAGGAATGTTCGCTTTTTTTTGCAAATTCAAAAATTATGTTTTACAAGAGTGATAAGAATTTATTCACAAATGTACAACTATGAAGTTTAAAAATATAATTATTTGTCACACGCACACAATGCGACTGCCGGAGCAACCATCTTTGAATTTGTACTCGTTTGTACTCTTCGATTGAATATGTCGGTCTGTTCTTTTCGGCGTTTCTTTTATACCGCGTCGGTAGATGTACATTCGATGTGATTGATAAGCCAGAGATATGGCTGAATAATTGTGTTAGTTAAACGCGAAGGAAGATTAATTGGTTAAGAAAAGTACGATCGTAAAATCAAGAGCTAAATCTTCTTTTTTATCATAGGAAGACAGAGTTTACAGTTGTCGTGATAATCGACCATGATTCATACAATATTTTATATAATAATATAAAGAAAGAAGAAACTTTTCATCTAAAATATAATTTCTGTAAATTATTTCTAGCGTGATATTTTTTTTCAATTTTGTTGCAATTTATTATAAAAGTTCAAGTTTATTATCAAAGATATTCTTACAGTCTTTACAAAATTAAAGAGAATTCGACCGGAATCTTTAATATTTTGTCTGCGAAGAGAGCGCTAAACACACGATCTCGCGCAACTTTTTCGCACGCCATTCGCACATTAATTCGTAAAGTTTCTCAAAACATCGGCCGCGTTTTAGTTTCGTTGTTTCTCGCGTGGAAAGTAGTCCCGCAGGTTGAAACAAGCCTTAACTTTCGTCGCTGCCGGCCACCGCTGCGAGCAGCAGCGGCAGCAGGTCGATGCTAAACGAATCATAACTTGCCACTAGTCGGTCAGCGTAATCGAATTATCCATTACTGGTTCTATAATGTATCCCAGCGGCTGTGATTTAGTAACGCAGACACGTCTTGATCCTGGAAAAACGGCCCATTGTGCATTAATTGCAAATCTGTGCGAAGCAGATATCAAAATCTATTGAAAGAGTTTAATTTCACCGGAAAGAAGCTCTCTGCTTTTCGCAGAGATGCAATGTTTTCCCTCTCTTAAAACTAAATTTACAAAACTAATTTACCCTAACATTCTTTTCAAAGTTTTCAAAGTTCGATCGAGAAATTTGCAGTAGAACGACGTGCAATCTCCATTGAAATAATCGGATACATACTTTACAAGCAAAACAATTTCTGTTGAAAAATTTTCATTACATCTCTACTAATTAAAAAGTAATTAATGTCGAAAGCGCGGGGATGGCCGCGTATCCGCCGCAACGATGTCATCCCTGTTTGCGGGGGAATTATAAAGTTATTATTATTATTATTTTCTCGATGCTCACGCCGTGAAGAGGAAGAGACATTCTCTCGTTCCGCGACGCTCTATTATCGATCTTTTTAGGAGGTTTTTGCTTTTGCAGTACGCCCAAGAGACGCAGCACGAGAAGATCCTACGTGGCCTCGCGGTCGGCATCGCCTTCACGATGTACGGTCGCCTCGAGGAGGCCGATCCCCTAGTGACGTCCTTGTGCGCCGACAAAGACCCGATCCTACGTAGGAGCGGCATGTACACCCTCGCGATGGCCTACTGCGGCACCGGAAACAACCAGGCCATCCGCAAGCTGCTGCACGTTGCCGTGAGTGTCGATTCGATTTGCCATTCCGTTCTATTCGCTCGCTCTTTATTTATTCGCTTAATTTATTTCCTTGTCCGTTCAATTTCCATTCGGTTGCAACTTTATTTATTATTTTAGTATTTATAGAGAATACGTAATACAGTTTGTTCCGTGCGTTATTATTTTTCTAGAATAAACATAGAGGAAGAATGATTTATTTGTATTGTTGAAATGAGAGAGTCGATTTGCATGATTCGCGTACGCGTCGATTCCGCTTTTTTTTTTTATTTCGCATCAAAGAGAAGGCGGAATTGAATTTCTCGCGGAGTATTGTAGTCGCGATTTTTTCCTCTCTTTTTACGTTCTAACAGGTCTCTGATGTTAACGATGACGTTCGACGAGCCGCAGTTACTGGTCTGGGCTTCCTGCTGTTCCGGTGAGTACCTTTGTAAAGTTACCTAATTCCACAAAGTGGATTTAACAAAACCGAAGAATGCGGAAATTACGCGCGTTTGCGAAACTCCCACGGCTTCCGCGCCGAGCGAAATCGCATTTAGCGTATTCCAAGCATGCTGACTTGCCATCCTAAAAACATAATTGGCGAAATAACTTTAGCCTTTCTGTTATGATTTTGGCCGCTAATATATTTTTTTCGCGGCGTAAAATGATGAGGAAGAAACTGGAGAAGCCACAAAGAGAGAGAGAGAGAGAGAGAGAAAACATTTGTAAATTATTTACAATGACAAAGCAAAACGTCAGAGCAAATTTAAATTTGCCGATAAATTAAACAATTTCTATTTATCTCTTATTTACTTTAATTCATTTGCTTTCAACTCTAGCAAGAGGCGTTAATTATTTCTTATATTGATCTTATACAATCTTATTTGAAAAGAATCAGTCAATTGGATATTAATTTATCTGCGTATTTCAAATTCTTAAGCTATTAACTTATCGGCACTTGTTTAGCACAAACTGCTGTCAATTTTCCGAATGTGTTGCGAAAGCACGTGTCTAGAAGGATGTTAAAAATTTCGCTTGCGTCAGAAAAATTTGCGCTAACCTGCAGTACAGTGATGTTCAGCGGTCAATATGCCACTCACGAGCCTGTCGTGATCGATTACAGATATTTTGTAATGTTCTGACCGATAAGATCTCCTTCGAAATATAGCGAACGCGTGAGTAAATGAATGAGAATCTATTTTGAGAGAGACAGAAAGAGGCGAGTTTACTGTTTGCACGCAACTTCTGATCACGCAGACTCCGCGATGATGCCGTTAATAATACGCAACAGTAATTAGTTTGCCAGTTAAAAAGAGTTCATTATTATTGTTGCAACGAATTTTCCGTCATATTTTTTCACTCATTTCTTAGTTTGTTTGATATCTCTTTCAGTCTTTTATTCTCGCGACAAAGTTTTACATTAAAATTCTACTCTACTGAAGTTTGCTCGAAATTGGCCGAGGAATATGAGGTCATTTAATTTTCATCCCGATGCTTGGTTCGTCGGGAATTTTCTATTTTTAATCTAAATTAATTTTTGATTGCATTTGAAAAAATAACAGGTGTCCCGATATTTAAGGAAAATTGACCTGACGAGAAAAATGTTCGGTGGTTTTTTGGAACATTTTGAACGCAGCTACGCGCCCGTTTTTTCTACGCGCCCGTTTTTTCTACGCGCCAGTCGTTAATTAACTTTCGAAGGGCACTTGTTTAGACTTATCTGAGAACACGCATATAGTTTAACGGTAGGCGAAAGTGACATCGGTACACAAACGGAGTTTAAACAGTTGCGGATGGTCGGCAGCTGATTTGCAATTGTTAACACGAGACAACAAATACGTGAATATCGGAACGCGTGCGCAAATTTGCCTTTCGCTTAGCCGTTTTCGACCGCAACCAATCGCAACTGTTTAAACCCGTTTGCTCTGTAAACGAATTTTATTAGTGCTTTCGTTTCTGTTTTGCTTTTCTTTTGAGGGAGGAGGAGAGGGGGGGGGATCTTTTTCTTGTTGGAAACACCGGCAAATCCGACAAATTCGAAAAATTGAAAGTTTACGCTGGAAGTAAAATACATTCCGAGTAAAAAGAAGAGTGCGCGGATGCGCCACTCTCTCTCTCTCTCTCTCTCTCTTTCCCTCTCTCTCATGTCTACGAGAAAAAAGTTGTTTCGCGCGAAAGCGTTAAATTAGTCGTTTTTCCTAACAAGAAAACACTTTATTCTTTTGAACAAAGGACGAAAGTTTGTTCTTGCAAATTTCTCCACATGAAAAGTCTCCATATTTCGATCGTTTGCAAGTCAAAAAATATAAGAACGCTTCGCATTCTCGCGAACATGAAATAAGGTCGAGAAATAAATAAAAAAAAATTCACGGATGAAAAGTAATAGAATCTCTGTCCTCTCTTTCTCTCTCGCGCGCACGGGTCACACTTGTTTGACTTTGCCTGCTTTATTCGCGTGCGGCCCTCCATTTTGGATGATACGATGTGTTTTTATTCTTTTCTCTCTCTGTCTCTGTCTTCTGCCTACGTTCTCAATTTTTCCTTCTTTCGAGATCCTTGCCATTACCAGGGCAGCCGCAATGAATAGAGGCCGACCTATTGAATAAGTTATACACTGCAAACTACCTCACGTCCCATTTCTCCGCATTCAGATTGCAATTTAGAAGAGACCGGATCCTCGCAAGTGGACACGAACGTGGCAATTTTCTCCTGGCTTTAAAATGCTCGTAATCTTTTTTATTACTATGAATAATTATTCGGATAATTATATGTTGTCGAATCGTCCTCGAAGATTTTTCCCCACGCGAATTTATTTGATCTAAAAATTGATTTTTAAGTTTCAAGTGAATTCAAATCCCACGTTAATCTTTTTATGGCTTTCGGCTAATTTTTTTTTTTGTTTTAGCTTCGGAATTAATTTTAAATTCTAAGGTGATACTTTATTCTCTTTCATCCAGGATTAAGGGAGTTTAACTTTCCCTCGTTTTCACTTTTTCCACCGCTCTAAATCGACAAGGAATAATCCTTACTTACCTCGTGTATCCCGAGGCGCTGCGCTGTCTCGCATTACAAGGAGACTTGCAGTTTTATGAAACGAAGCTCGGGGTGGAAATATTCCCCTCCCACGAGAGATGGGGCGCGGTATTGCGTCGGCGGTAGGCAATGAAAGCTGAAGAAGGTGAAGTACAATTGAGCGACCCGGAGGGTGCGAGAGTGAGAAAGCTTTTTTTTTTTTGCGAAAAAACAGACTTTTATTAGAAAACTCATATCGAACTATTTTCGCCGTTCGGGCATTTGTCAGTTTTTCCATGTTTATCGCGTCTGTGCGACGAAACGGGGAGGGAACGTCGATTGAAAAATACGTCCGTTTTATTTTATTGCGACATCTCGAATTTATGGAATAAATCACGGAAACGGCGCGAAGCTATTAGGTTTGATCGACTTATTTTTTTACGGCCTCGCGCAGGAAAGGAACCTGCTATTCTCGTTTCGCTAACGACAGAACAGACACGCGTTATTTTCTCTTCCTTGCACGCCGGTATGTGTCGCTTCCGCCTTCCCTGTTTTCTCGTGATAGGTATTCCCAGCGCTCTTCCGGCCTGGGAAAAGCATGTCGAATTGTATTTCTATTCGACCGAAGTGTCTTCGAACGAATTTTCAGTCGCTTTGCCTCTATTCCTGGTGGATTTTCTTGGCGAATATTCGATGCGATATTTTGTAATTTTTGATACCGAGAGAAATACCGTAAGATCTTTATCGTAAGCGAAGTTCCGAGCGGAGTTCAACCTGGAAATATTATATGTTGAATCTTATATTTTATCGGACGAAGGCAAAATAATGTTGGCTTTTTTTTTTTGTAAAAAAGGATGAAAATAGAATCTTGTTTTATTAAACGCAAAAAAAGGAACATCTCTTTCGCGGGCGGAGAAAATGTTTACCGATAATGAATGTTTAATCGCTGGTGCGCGAAGAAGCGCGATAGCGCTTGTTGGAATTTTCCGACGTGAAGAAGCGATTGTGCGACGCTTTTTTCGCACGCGTTCTCGCGATTATCTTCGGCGCTCAAAGCGTTCGTCTCAAATTTTTTAATAACGCACCTTAAAAGCGCATTTCAAGTGCGACAGCCGAGATTTCGATGGATTTACTAATAAATCACGCCGGCTTTGTCTTTCATCTGTTCCGCTGATTGTGAGATCTTGATCGATTCGTTGATAATCGATAAGAAAGCTGTGGGCTCTTAATTGGAATACCAGGTCGATTCGGGGCTCTTCCTCGGAATAAATCATCGCCGCGCGATAAAGAAGCGACGCTCCTCGCTCCTCGAGCAGTCGTTATTTGATCACACGGAATTTCAATCGCTTTTAGAACTAGAGATTGCTTGAATATAAAAACGCAGATAACGTAAGGAGTGTTTGATGTGTCGCGAGACCGATTGAAATTTACTTATATAAATCCACGTATTTAATTCGCCGTTAAACGAACTCGAGAGATAAATATAAACTTAATTTTGCGAATTTCACTCGGGAAACGAACTTTTATCCATTTTACGTTGCGTAACAAAGAGGAGCGCATAAGATGGAAAGAATCAATATAGTTTTCATCTTCTCGAATCGACGAGCTGAAAGCTCGACTTTATTTCACGACTCTTTGATAGATCCATTCTACACGCTTTTTCAGAGTCGAATGTAACGACGATGATCGCGATTCTGTGAAATGTTACGTCTTTTTTTTTTTTTTTTTTTTTTTATTTGAACGCGCGCTTCTGCCCGACAAGTTTGTAAGAATTCGATTTGTTTTCCGCAATTTGTGTCGGCAATTTGGAAGCTTCATTTTTCATCTTGTCGCGTTTTGAAAAATTCTTGAAATTCGTCCGTGACCCTGTTTCCCGTTTCTTTACGGGAGATCCTCCCGCTTAATCCTTGCACAGTCCGCCCTTTCCAATTAATGTCCGGACAATACGCGGGTTAGCGGTTCTCATCATTCAAATTTCAGGTCACATGTTTTTGCTCCCCCTTTTTTTCCACGTTTAATCTCCAACCCTTTGAGCGCTCTGCTCCATTTTCCGCCCTCGCCAATTTGTTCTGTATATTTCGTTGACCCTAAAATGCATCCTCCTTTGATCTCAAACATGACCACTGCGTCTGTGATTATCTATTTTTTTTTTCCGGGTTTAATTTATGTTGCATTAACTCCGCTCCACGGACGGATATTTAATGAGGAAGCCCGGAGAAATTGAAAAGCACGTTGAATCAATTTGTATTTGTTGAAATAAATTAATTAATATTCATCCGCGCGGGAGAGAATCCGCAGTGGAGCTTCGCGACGCGCAAAATTATTTGCTCGATGTATCGTTTAAGTAATAACTGTCGATTCGATTGATTGTTACGTCTAATTAATTGAACGCGATAAATAGTGACGGGGGGGGGGGGATTCTTA